CTCTTGGTTCTGAGTTCTCTGCCTCCTGTGTCTCTGTCTCACAAGTTCCCCATCGATCTCTCCTCTGTCCTGTGTCTTTCGAGTTCCGTCTCCCTCCTGATTCTAGTCTCTCTTCCAAGTTCTCTTTCTGGTCTGTCTCCTCTATTTCTGTTTTGTGTGTCCTGACTCTAAGGTCTGTCTCCTCGGTTTCCATCCTCTCGTCTCTCTGTCCTGTGTCTCCTGTGTCTTTCCTATGTCCCTTGTCTTTCTCTGTCCTCTCTTCTTTGTCTCTCTCTCTCCTCTCTCAAGTTCCCCATCTCATTTCCATCCTGTCTTTTTCCTAAGTTCTGTGAGTCCTGTGACTGTCTGGATTCTGGTCTCTCTGTCTCCTGTCCCTACGGTCTCTAGACAGACCTTTCTCTAATGTCTCAACTCTAGACTCTGTCGTTTCTCAGGCCTCTGTCCTGCCTCTCATTTCAGTGTCACCCCCGTCTCTAGTCTTTCCTGTCTGTAAGTTGTCTTTATCCTCTGTCTCTTCAGGTCCCTGTCTTTCCAGTGTCTCCATCTTCTGTCTTATTCTCTCTCCTCTGTCTCCCGTTGGACTCCTGTCTCTGTCCCTTGTCTCTCTTCTGTGTCTGTTCTCTTTTCTCTAAGGCCTCTTTATGTCGACTTTCTTCACTTGCCTGTCTCCACTTTGTCTGGTTATTTCAGGGACCCCCCCGCCCCGCCCTCCGTCTGTATCTCTTCATGTTTCTGTTTCTGTCTCTCTCTTTCTGTCTGCCTCCGTGTCTCTCTCCCTGATTCTATAACTGTCTCCATCTCTTTCTGTCTCCCCCTCTCTCTCCATTTCTTTCTCCAACTATCTCCCTCCATCTGTCTCTGTCCCTATCTCTGTCTCTCCTTCTGCCCCCTCTCCCTCCATCTCTCTGTGTCTCCTCCTGTCCCTATCTCTCTCTGTCTCTCTGTGTCTCCTCCTGTCTCTCCCTCCCTCTCTGAAGGTCTCTGTCTGCCCCTATCTCTCCCTGTCTTTCTGCATCTGTCTCCCCCTCCATCTGTCTCTGTCCCTGTTCCTCTGCCTCTCTTCCTCTCTCTCTCCCCGTCTGTCTTTGTGTCTCTCCCTCTTTTTCTTTCTCCCTCTGTTCCTTTGTGTGTTTCTGTGTCTCTGTCTCTCTCTCCATGTGTCTCTCCCTCCATCTGTGTCCGTCTGTCTCGTCTCTCCCTCTGTTCTTTTGTGTATCCCTGTCTCTCTCCATCATCTCTTTGCGTCTCTCCCATCTATCTCCCTCTCCGTCTCCATCACTCTCCTTGTCTGTGTCTCTCTCTGTGTCGCTGTCCGTCTGTCTCTCCCCGTCTGTCTGTGTCTCTCCCTCTTTTTCTTTCTCCCTCTGTTCCTGTCTCTCTCTCTCCTTCAGCCCCTGACTCTTTCTCTCCTGTCGCTGACTGTCTCCCCATCTGTCTCCCTCTCACTTTCCGTCTGTCTGTCCCTCTCTCGCCCTGTCTCTTTCCGTCTGTCTGTGCGTCTCCCTCTCCTCGTCTCTCTGCATCTCTCCCCGTCTGTCTCTCATCTCCTATTAAGTTTTGTGTGTTCTACTATCTGTGTCTGTCTATACTCCTCTCTCCTCTGTCTACAGTCTCTGTCATGTCTCCTCTAAGGTCTCTGTCTCTCTAGGTCCCTCTCTGTCTCCTCAGTCCTCCCTCCCTCTCTCTCTAGCTTCCTGCCTCCTGTTTTCTGGGTAGTAATGTACTTACCTTCTGGCGATGGTGATATCACATTATCGTAGACAGTTTCAGTGTCTTCACAAAACGTGCATTCAGAAAGTGTTCTAATGTGGACTAACCCCTTTTCCTGCAGGTGTTTATTAATCCCTCCCACATACTAGGTGGATCCTCACAGCCGTTAAGTACTCACCTGTGCCGCTGCTTACTCTTCTCAAGTGTCTACTACTTAAGGCCATCACAGCCTAATAAAAAGGGAATCGTAAAGAAAAGCCAGTCACCACTGTGGATCTGAAGCCACGTCCTTCCATGATGTAGTTCTGTATGTTGCTGTATGTGTACTTTATCAATTAATGAGGTTGTTGTTTTGGTATTAAACAGTACCACCGACTTTAACACCCTAGTAGCCTTGTTACTTACAATAAGGATCACATTTTGACACCCTCAAGTAAATGTGTATCTGAAAATAATCAAGCACATACTAATGTGGATTGCACCCAACGGAGTCACCCTGCTCCGTGAAATTCTCTCCGGGAGACAGCACATTTCACTCTCCTCTCCCCTGAACCCTCAGCTCCCGAGTCTCATAGCCATAGCATCAAAGTCCTGCAACTAGTCTAACTTAGAAATGACACCAAGAAGCAAAACCACTGAGCCAAACTCTGATATTACTTCAGGTGACAAAGAGATTTCAACTCTGAATTATTAAGTGTCCTTATTCTGTGGCAACAGCTTACTAGCAGCATCCTACACAGGCTTGATATGTCGACCCCGATTACCGTCATCTGTGTCTGTCTAGAAAGCATGTCCCTGACGTGTGACGTTACCTCGGTACCGATGCGGTGTCCACGGCGCGCGCAGCTGCCCCGGGACCAGCACTCGTTACAGCACCTTCACGGCGTTGGCTGTGTGCAGACGCTCGAACTTCGCCAGTGCTAGCAGCTACCCCAGCTGTTGGACACGATCATCAAACCACCATGCTCTGAATCAGTTCGGTAGCTGCTTCGGAAGCGTATTCACACTAGGTCAACCTCACAGCCACCTCTTACCGATCGTCTTCTCTGATCCCATCGACGCCCGTTAAGGACGCGACGTCTAGTAACGCTGACTGCCAACAAGCTTCACCTCACCAGACTCCCTCACTGACAAAAAGCTACACATCACCATAGTAACTATTACAAATGTTCCTATTTGTAACATTTACCGCCGCAGACAAGACTCCTTTGACTTTACACCCTAATCATTAGCACCCGCTGAGGAGATCGAACATAAAGACAATGCGGGGCTTCACCTCCTCCACAGACTTGCACCTCAAGCCTTCCAGGCTCCTCCGACTTTGCACTAGCCCTAGCTGCCTCTCCACCTAACATTTTTCTAGGACGCCCGTGCATAACAACACTTAACCGCACGCATCCCTGTCTGCAGCCTCCACGTATGACCACCAAAACCACAGGTGCAGACCCCCGCTGCTGACGCCAGCGTGCCTGCCACTGTCACAGTAAAAACGGGGCTGGTCCCCGAGGAATCTCGGACGCGACCCTCACAAAGTTCCCAGCACACCCTTCCTAACAGCATCCTTATGACACAACCAGCTCCATCTCTCTGCCCCCGACAGACTTGGGATCACTCACTCACAGTCCTCCGTCAGCCGTGCGGCAGCTTACACATATCCCCCGGGGCTCAGACATCACGGGGCGGCCGAGGACCCACTGCCCTGACCACCACACACACACACACACACGCTGGGCACGTCGCCACGGCCACAGCGGCCGCCAACAGTCTCACCACACTACCTTCACCCCTGACGATGAAGCCAGTGAGGGGTCCTCTGTGCTGGCAGCATTTCTGTCACTCTTACGGGAGGTAATGCTGTCGCCTACCACCCTGGACTCCCTGTTCATGTTGTAACACGATAAGGTCGCACACGCCTAACAGCATCAAAGCATCTTCCACACGAGAAAACCACCGAGACCAAGACACTGACTCCCCCTCCTGCTCCTGACCCTGCCCTCCCACCCCAGAGTCCTTTTGGGAGCTTCGTGATGTTAATACTGTTAAGTGGAAACACTAAATTGTGGATCTCATTATAGAGACTAAAAATTCTCACTTACCAAAAAGCATGCAAGAACTGCTAACTCATGCCTCCACGTATCCACACGGAACGATGTGACTCTTCCAACCTTTTAAAGGATGGGAGTTATCCATTAGACTTAAAAACTAAAACTGGGTGGAACTCCAAATAAAAGTAATAAATCTCTTTGCTTGCTCAGTAATAACTTCTCTGCTTATATGAATCCTACCAATCTGATTAGCGACGAGCTCTACTATCTACAAAAGCAAGAGGCACCGAATTATGTAAAAGCCGCAATTGCATATGCCTTTGCCACCAGCCTAATCCCTACGACAGTCATTCAATCGGGCCAAGAAACAGTAATCTTGAATTCACACAATAATTATTCAGACTTTAAAAAGAACACTAGGTTCAGGCGTTAACTCCTCAGTCAGTAACATGCATTAGCAGCACTACTCATCACATGACCGATCACGGAATCCCTGACACACGCACACTCAGACCGTAATAACCGATTTTTAAGGATCTCCTTACACTTCTCAGTGCGACATTAATCGATATTTATCGGAGGAAGAACTATATCCTCTGTGCTAATGGGATGATGACATGGTTGAACAGACACAAACGCCCAGGGACCCTTCATAGCAGCATCTGGGGTACTGGATTTATCGTGTCGATGGCATGATTTTTATTCAACTTTTCACTCAACTGACAATACCAGTCTCCCATCAGCTGGACTCCTCCTAGCTGCAACCGGAAAATCCACCCCACTGGGACTTCGACCGGGAACCCCTCAGCCGTGCAAGGCCCACACCCGCCTCGGCCCTCCTCCAGCACGGTCGTTGTAGTGGGCATCTTCCTGCGAAGCCAGTTTTGGCCGTGAAGAGATAATAAGCTTACTTGAGCAATAACACTACGCGCAGGGGCCATCCACATGCTATGCGCCGCAGTCCGCACAGTATTAAAAAAAATCAGTCGTCTTTTCTACGTCCAGCAAGTTAGCTATGTACTGTTGTCACTGACCAGCCGCACTGAGGGGTTCCTCCGCGTGTTCCACATGCCCTGCTGTTATGTTCCGGCTGTCGTTCGTAGCCTAAACGGTGACCAAGAGATCCAAGAGACAGGTGGCCTATCAAAGCATTCCTTGTCACCACTACCGCACTTACCACTGAGGAGTCTACGCCCAGGGCGACAGGTCGAAGCTCCTGCCACGCCCACATCGACACTGCGCCCTACCTGTGCGCTGGCCGCCACGCCCTAGGGGCTGTCCGCTGCTCTGCCAGGGCCACCGTGCCTTCCTGCTCCAGATTCCCGAAAACAGCCCTGCCCCAACACACCATCCGACACCTCTTCACTGCAAGTATCCGCTGGTTTCGTTCCAACATCACTCCGACTAGTCCACAGACAGCTGCACTCAACATCCGACACTAACGGCCCTACCTGCAACCACAGTGTGTTTCGTCCTGGCATGTGAACTCCATCTTATAACAAAAGCTAAACTTTAATTGCCCTTCCGGCCGCTGTGGCTCCTCTAACCTCAGATACTTTCCCGCTTTTCCACACTGCCTGCCTCCCGCGGTGCAGGCACACAGCGGCGGGACTGGAATCAGCACCCCTATTACTAGAAAGTGGTTTACCAAAGTGTCCCAATTTCAAAAATCTTCTAAACTAGTGTCCAACCATAAAGGCCCACCCACACGGTACTTCTGCCCTGTTCTCGTTGCGTTAACCATGACCCTAATTACCGTTAGTTTCCACGAGTCATCTCCGCACACCGCCAGCAGTAGCCACGGACTAACCGGCAGCTGCGCACGGCGCAGAACCGTGACGAGGTAAAGCTGCGAGGCCCACAGGCCCCTCACGGAGATGCCCCAAAGCCCCAGTGTCGCAGACAGCGCCGTCTGCCAACCTCCGACTTAAATGCGACTTCTACCAACCTGCGCAACACCGGCGTAACTTCTGTAATTAAACGCTGTTCAGTAGCCGTAGTGATACACCGAAGACGGCCGGCATCCCCCCGAAACAAATCAGAAGCACCACCGAGCTGGAAAAAGCCATCGAAATTCATCACGACTCCACAACTGACCTCTCCATTCCCAAGCAACCCAAGTCCCCATACGGTGCTGAGGGTTTGGATGAAAACCCTCCAAAACCACAAAAACACTACGAAATACAGTTCATCGCCACTCCACATGGCGTCTACCCACGACCAATGTCACGAAAAGTCATTGTTCTTGGTCGACTACATCAAAATTGGCACGGGACCCACCGGCTCCAGCGCACCTCCTCGTGAGGAAATCTCAGATCTTTCGGGGGTCTGGCGAGCCCTACAGATCCAAACACAACTTTTCCCAGCGATACACCACTCATCAGAGGCTACTACTGCTTCCTCTTGTGTCACTCACATCTGCCAGGACATAAGTTACCACTCGGTGATGCCACATTTCCATGCCAATGGAGCATCCACATTCCTTACCCGGCTCTTGCTGTGTGTGGGACGAGCTGTATTACAGAAGACACGTTTACAGAAACCTGACACGTCAAGATCGTGTTTGCTGTGACAGCAATGGCACTTGTGACTTACACACGAGCACAAGGTCGAGCGTCCTCCATGGACCGGCAGTCATCACCGAGCTGCCCCTGGCGAGCCCCTCTCTCAGACGCCGCCGTGTGGGGTGCATCGGAGGAGGACTTCCCGCCGGCAGAGCCATGCTCGCCGTTTCCATGGCTCCCACTCCACGCTCCCTCTCACCATCTCGGCTCTGGCCCGCGGCATCTACTGTTCCTGTGGGACACATGACCCCGTGACCCAACAGGAGGCATGCAGGGCACAGCCAGAGGACACCCTAAATTTCTGATACTAGTCCAGTTTCCACCCGGCCTGCCGACTACGCCCTGGCCAACCCCGAGTACCACCGCACACATCACGGCTGCGTGGTCCTTGCTGTCCGCATGTGCGACCCTACCATCCATTCTGAACAAACTAGGCCCTGGCTGTACTATAACGCACGGCTCGGGACGGAACTGCAACCGCGAACGACGAACGCGCAATTAAGGCGCTGTTCACCGGCGTCACGTTGCCACACAGGGCAGTTCGGTCCGTGGTTACCGGACGTCGCCCGCACCACTGGCCTCACAGCGCCCCCACGCTGAGCAGCAGCGCGTAACGCCGTGCTCGGCCACACGCCCACGGGAGACGGCCACAAACAAAAGCGCCACGGTCATGTGACTGAAGTGAACAGACTACGACCGAAGCACGTTCAAGGGTTTTCAGTAACACGGTTAAATTTTTACGAGACCACAGAAAGCTACAGCTGAACTGGAAATAAAGCAGGACAGTAACTCCAGAGACCTCGACTGCCCAACAGCTAAGACCCAGACTCGGACTAGGTACCCCACTGTGCTCCGCCCGAAACCCGAACACTTTGTGACAGCGTTATTCCCCAGAGTGCTACCAGCAGTCGCCTGAAACCCACAGGACGTGGCAGTGCTGTGTGTCCCTCCAGAGGAGCCTGTGCTATAAGCCCTGATGAGCCTCACCATCCCGGGCTCGCACGGCCCACGGCCCCGCCACCCTCAGCAAACCCTAAGAAGGAACGACAGCTCACACGCGCGTGCGAAGTGTAAGAACTTTAGATCAGGTGTAGCTTCAGGGGCTGGGCTGGAAAGAAACGGGCTACATATGTTTTTTACTTCGATTATTATTTCTTACACAAAAGTCCCCGTGAAACCAAAAACGAAAGGATTTAGAAGTAAACTGATGAGACAGAGCTTAATCGAATCACGCACGACCCATCCCCATCACCCTCCTCGAATATCAGAGAGATGTTTTTAACAAAAACATGCACACATACACACGTGTGGGTGTGCTCGCCCGTCTTCGGCCGCGCTCTGCGAACCTGTCCACACTCGTGTGCAGCGCTGCTGGGGTTGGGTTTCACGTTCACCTGGCTGCAGGCTCCTGCAAGGTGTAATGTCAGCTTTTCTATCGTGATGTTTTTTTTTTTTAAGACTGCTTTGTATTAAAATGTGGCATTTTTCCCTAATTAAAAAGAAAAAAACCATTGTTTTCTATTAAAAAAAGGCGATATGACCAAAGATCTCACTTACAATCATTCAACTTAACATGAGGAGGCTGAGTCGTAACGAGGGGGGCTCGGGGTCAGCGGTGGGCAGCGCAGGGTGGGACCCCACGCGAGGCTGGGGAGCTGCTCACCGGGGCTGCTGCGCATCGCCCTCCAGCCCCCCGCCAAGGGCGAGCCTCGCCTTCTCACGGCTGACGGCTCCCGTTTTGACACTGCCTCGCTTCCTGTTTACACCACAGGAAGCCAGAGAGCTGCTGCCACCGCTGCCACCGCAAGAAGTCCCAGCAGGGGCTGTCTCCCAGGCCGGGGCCTGCTGCCCGGGACCTGCTGCCGGCCTGCAGACAGCGTGCCCCTCGGAGGCCGAGCCGCGGACAGCAGGCAGCCCAGGTAGGGTGGTTTCGCTCTTCCAGAAGGAAGGGCCTTCCGCGAAGATGAGAGGATGAGTGGGGCCCAGAGTCACAGTTCTGCCCGACATGATGGCGGAAGTGGGGCTGGTGCCATCAGGAGCCCTGGCTGCGGGACAGTGGGGTGCTGCCTAGGGCGGGGTCCCCCCGTCTGCAGAGGTGATGCTGCGGTGGGGGTGCAGGCCGGCCGCGGCGTCAGCAGGAGAGAGCCTTCGGGGGGCGGTCCGGAGAAACAGGCGCCGTACCACGGGGGCAGCTGCAGCGAGGGCGACAGCAGGTGGCCCGGGGCCGTTTCCGCGTCTGAGACGGCAGGTCGGGGAGCGGGGTCAGTGCTGGCGCCTGCGTGAGGGAGGAAGGTGGCCCTGGTTATCGGACTCAGAGCCTTGGTAGGAACAGGATAGGGGTTTGGCCTTCATTCCCAGGCAGGGGGAGGGGCGAGAATGACCACGGCTGTGACCGTGACACAGGGGTCTCGCCCTGGCCGCTGCCGGCATAACGAGGGTCATTTACTCTGCTCGGCGTAGGAGTCCTCGGTTCTAAAATGCCGCACAGCAGACAGCGTTCTGTGTGAGAAGCCTCCCCGCCCCCAAGCGCTAGGATGCTGTGAGGTTCCCTCCCCCGCGCCGCACCTCAGCTCAGGTGATGGCACCTGGGCAGCGGCTCACCCAGCCAGGGGACTGTCAGGCACCTCCGCCACCGCCCTCCAGAACCCCTCGCCTCTGAGAAGAGAACTGAGGTGGAGGTTCTCGCCAGACGCCACGCACAGCTCTGGCCTCTGTTTCTCCCGTAGTGGCTCCCACGTCCCCAGCGAGACACCCAGTGCTCACCAGGCAGGCACGGGTGGACCACGGCCTTGACAGCGCCGCCGAAGACCCCTGGGTCAGAATTTCTGACTGTATCAAGAGCCTGTTCAGCCCCGTCATGAGTGAGAACCACGGCCACGTGCCACTCCGGTCCCCCAGCAGCCTCGTTCAGGAGGACGGGGTGCAGGACCACCGGGATGGGAGCCCCACAGAGCTGGACGCCACCAGCAATGCTCCCAAAGCATACAAGTCGGCGGATGGCGGTACCGTGAAGAAGGGGCCACCTGTGGCCCCGAAGCCAGCCTGGTTTCGCCAGAGCTTGAAAGGCCTGAGGCATCGCGGTCCGGACGCCAGGCCGCTGCCCGCCCCCAGGGAGCACCTGGGGCCGCCCACGCGGGCCTCCAGCTCCATCAGGCAGAGGATCAGCAACTTTGAGACCTTTGGCTCCTCCCAGCTGTGTGACAAAGGCGCTCAGAGACCGGGCCCGCAGCCCCCGGGGACCCTGGGGGACACAGCCAAGTCTCCCGGGAAGCCAGACGGAGGATGGGGTCCCGGGCCCTCCGGCCGAGAGGCCCTCCCCACTGACCAGCCACCCTCTGGCTCCCACGGGGCCACAGAGGCCAGTGCCCCGTGTGCACCAGGGACCCCTCCCCCAGAGCGGCTGCCCAGTCACGCAGCCCTCGCCCCTGACTCTGTGCTGCGACCACCGTCCATGCAGACTGTGGCCCCTCAAGGCCCGGTGGTCAAAGCGCCCAGCCAGCGGGCGCGCAGCTTCCCCCTGACCAGGGCCTCGTCCTGCGAGGCGCGGCTGCCGCAGGAGGACACCGGCAGGCTGTACTCCATCAGCAGCCGCGTGTCCTCCGCCGTCATGAAGTCCCTGCTGTGCCTCCCGTCCTCACCCTCCTGGGACCAGGCCCCCTGCAGCCCCCAGGAAGTGCCGTCTCCAGTGTCCTCATCTAGACCAGACGCGGCAGCTGACAGTCCCGAAGGATCCGCAGCCTCCGACACTGGCTTCTCGCTCAAGTAGGTGTCGGTGGCCGCCTGTCTCTAACCGCACATGGCCTCGAAGCCTCGCAGTCTCAGAGCGGAGGGTCACCCCACTGTTCTTTCCCAGCTGCGTGGTGTGACACCCCTGCCTTCCCTGCCGAACAGCTGCTGTGTGTGTGTGGGGGGGGGAGGGCGGGCCTGTCCCTTCACGAGTCCCCTGTGACTTAATGAGGTAGAACGGGTCCCGCCCGCCAGAGCTCAGACGAGCCGCCTGTGCCACGATGTGACCCCTTGGGAACTCTCGCTGCACTCGGGCCCAGCCGTGGGCAGGGTGTGAGGACATCTGGGTCCCCGCTCCGGCACCCACTCCCTGGCCACAGCAGGTCCACCTGCGGACGCGGGAGGTGCTGACACCGAGCCTGCAGCACTGTGGCCTGCGCCCTCCTGGCCCTGGCCCTGGCCCTGCCCCCCCCTCGTGAAGTAGGGCCACTCTGCACACAGGCCCATTTACCATTCTGCCAAGACACGTGGGAGACGCCTGGCCCAGCGAGCGCCGTCCAGTCGGCCTCTGCGGACGGCCCGAGAGGGCGGCTCCCCGGGGCAGCCCGGCCACTGCCTTTCGCCCTCGGCAGACGTGCAGCCAACAGCGTGCAGCTCTCTCTGGCCCGCGAGCTGTAAGGGACCGCAGGGCTCAGCACTCGACCTGACTGCTGGGGCCCCTTCCCGTACAGGGGGCGGCAACCCCGTGACCATAACCACAGTCTCGCCCAAAATATGAAGCAAAGCTGCAACCAAAATGAGCTAGTTCCAAAGACCACAGCAGACCACTTGCTAAGGAGGCGCCCTCTGTGGTCAGCAGGGACCGCACCTGGGAGGGAGGGAAGAAGGGAGTGTGTCTGAGGAGCTTCTGCCTGATGGCCAGCTGGGGGCGGAGCCTGTGGCATCGGCCCTCATCTGTCCAGCATGAGCTGGGGACTCTGCCATCAGACACACCAGGGCCTGTGACGTCGAGTCCTGGGCCTCAGGCTTTCACAGCCAGGACCACAGACAGGCCGTCTGCCCTCCCGCCCGATGCCCTCCCTGCGGGCGGGGCGGGGTGGGGCAGGGCGTGGGCATCTGCTGGCAGACCTCCCCCTGGAGCCCGGGGCAGGGCAGGGGGGCGGGTAGGTCCTCCCATCGCTGAGCCTCACGCCTCGCCGGGGCTGTTCTCCCCTGAAAGCCTTTCGGAGCTCAGAGAGTACTCGGAGGGCCTCGGCGAGCCCACAGGAGCCGACGACTGCGTGCCCCCTGCCGCCGGCCAGTCGGTCATCTCCCTGCTGAGCTCCAAGGAGTTACAGCAGCTCATTGAGGAAGTGAGGGTTCTGGATGAAGCAACGCTGAAGGTGGGTGTCTTTGACGGGCGCGGTGGGACGAGGGCCTGGCTACGCACAGTGCGGTCACCGGCCTGGGCCGGAGCTCAGGAGCCCAGGCTCCTCGGGGCTGGAGAAGGCAGACGGCATGGCGGATGCCAGCCCGGGGTGGGGTCCTGCATGGTGGGCAGCCGGGCACTGGACCATGAGGCCTTCGTGGGAAGGCGTCTTGTAGCTGCTGAAGCGTTTTCAACCACTGGCTTATCTTCTGAGTTTTATCAGTGAGAAAGATCAGGCTTTCTCTGTCCGGGTCCTGCTGCTTCCTGTCTGGCGGGCCGCTGGCCTGAGCATGTCTCCAGGGGGCTGCTGCTCTGTGGGCAGTGCGGGTCTGAGCTCCCGCCCGGGACTTCCCCTGCACCACGACAGTCAGTCATTCTGAAAGTGCCACTTCCCGTAGACTTCCTGAGCATGGCCCAACGCTGTGTGGGGGCGGGGTGGGGGGCAGAGCGAGGCCCTCGCTGCAGACCCCGCCCTCGTGGGCCGCCCTGGCCGCCTCCCACCGGGATGACAGACAGGCGTCAGAGCTGTGTTCTCCAGGGGGATGCCCTGGGCATGGCTGTCCCCAGAGCTTTCTCCAAGGGCATCACAGAGGCAAAGTGCTGGGTGACGCTGGAGCCCGCCTGTCACGGGCAGTGTCCCTTGGGACCCGACATGGGCCTCAGGGCGCACAGGCAGCTCCTTGGGGAAGAGTGGGGTGATCTGGGCCTCTGCTGGGTAGAGGCGGGATGGTGAGGTCCATTCGTCTCTCAGCCCGTCTGGGACCTGGGGACTCCAAATCACAGGGCCACAGAGCCAGCGGCAGGGCAGGTGATTCTTCGCCGTGGGTCTGTCCCCCGGCCCAAGGCGCAGGCTGGAGCCTGGAGCACACGGCCCGCAGGCGCACTTCCTCCGGTCTGAAGGGTGGTTTTCCAAGACACTGCTGTGCTCTGACTGTGGAACCCTGAATCGAGACCTAGATTTCTGAAGGGGGCGATGTGGGGGCGCCGAGTCTGCACCCCGTGCCCTCCGCAGCCCCCGCCTCCATGACAGACTCCACTCTGCTCATCTTGCTCGTTCAATGACCTGCCTGGCTCTGGTATGACCTGGACAGCCCAGAGCGAGACCACGGTGACAGTCTGTGGCTTCAGTCAGCGCGCAGGGCTTATCCTGGCTCCGGGAGAACCCCGCATGCCTGGGTGGGCTCGTGGGTGTGTACGGGTGTGCTCACACGTGAGGCCTTGGGCAGGGACTCAGCAGCTTCTTGATGCTGCTTCTGTGCCCCACGGTGGGGCGGGGGACAGGGAGTGGCCCGCTGCACACCAGCTCCGACCCTGGGCTTGCTGACCTCGAGCCCCACGCTGAAGGCACAGCGCTGTGTCACCCAACATGCGGGTTCCCCGCCGACCCGGTGGCACCTGGTTGTCTTCATGCAGGTGTGGGCGCGCATGGGGGACGAAGAGGGGAGGGCTCACACCCAGTTTTCCCTTCTGAGCTTCCTGACTCCAGAAATAGAGCCGTCTCCTAACGGACGGTGACGCAGGTGTGATACGATGCAGCTGGGGTTTGAGACCGCGTCAGCCTGACGTGGAAACGCCCGTCAGACTGCTCACACCGTCGCGTGACGTTTCTCACGACACGTATCTGCTTTCGCAGCAACTAGACAGCATCCACGTCACCGTCCTGCACAAGGAGGAAGGGGCCGGCCTCGGCTTCAGCTTGGCAGGGGGAGCGGATCTGGAGAACAAGGTGGTCACGGTGAGTGGCCCAGGGACGGGGCCCCGGGAGGGCGACCGCTCGCCAGGAAGGGTCTTGTGCTGGGTCAGAGGGATGCAGGGCAGCCGGCCACTGATGGGCAGTTGGCTGTCAGGGCATAGTAACCGTCACGTGACCCCCGATTCGGCCCACATCACAATCCCTCGTGAACAGCGAAGGTCCCTGGGTGCCCGAAATGACTTCACTGAAAACGATCAGAGTCACTGTGGGGTTGAAGAGAAGTCAGGGGCCTCGGCTTCTGGGGAATCAGCGTGTCTCACACCCTGCTAGCACTGAATGTTCAGACGAGAAGGACCAATGACCGCGGCGGGGGCCTGCCAAGGCTGTGTGACCAGGATCGAAGGCCTGGCCGTGATGGCTAGCACAGCACTCCTGGACGGAGAAAGACGGCTGTATGCTTGGCTCTGCACACACGGAGGGCAGGGGTGTCCACTGGGACAGTTAGGGAGCTTCCTGGCCGGGTGGTTGAGAGACATGCAGGAGAGGACACTTGGGGATGGTGACGTAGAGCAGGTCCGAGAAAGGTGAACAGCCAGTGGCTAGGACCATGGTCATGGAGTCTGAGGCGTTGTGTTGAGAAGGACGCTGAGGGCCAGCCTGTCATCACTGTCACCGGCCTCTGCCCCGTGTCCAAGACACGGCTGTGTCATCCTCGTCAGCTGGACTGTGGTTCAGGTCCTCTCTGGCGGGAATCTCGATCTGACGCAACTGAACCCGGGGTCCCCCAGGTTCACAGGGTGTTCCCCAGCGGCCTGGCCTCTCGGGAAGGGACCATTCAGAAGGGCAACGAGGTTCTGTCCATCAACGGCAAGTCCCTCAAAGGGGCCACCCACAACGATGCGCTGGCCATCCTCCGCCAAGCTCGGGACCCCAGGCAGGCCGTGATCGTCACGAGGAAGCCGACGCTGGAGGCCACACCCGACCTCAGCCCCACCACTGACTCTGCAGCCTCTGCATCTGGGGCTGGTGACGTCTCCGCAGAATCCGGTAAGTTCTCTCAGTGTGGTGGGGCCTGTGGGCCATGCCGACTTTGACCACAGCCCTGCTGGGGCTGCACCATTATTTGTGGCCCCAAGGACCCACAGCCTGCCACGCGCACTGCCCAAGTGCACGTCTGTGCTCAGATGTCCACGTGCTCGGCAGGCAGTGTCCGCCAGGCTCGCCTGATGCCAAGGGGCATCCACAGCTTGGAGAGTGTCCCTGACAAAATCCTGGTCCTTTCTCAGCAGCGGAGGCCACGGTCTGCACGGTGACACTGGACAAGACCTCCGCAGGGCTGGGCTTCAGCCTGGAAGGCGGGAAGGGCTCGCTGCACGGGGACAAGCCGCTCGTCATCAACCGGATCTTCAGAGGTGCGCTGCACGTCTGCCTGTTTCCGCCCTGTTGCGAGCAGGAGGTGACTTGCCTTGTCCCTTCGTCACCTCTCTTCCTCTCCTTCATTCCAGGGGCAGCGTCAGGACAGAGCGACACAGTGAGGCCAGGGGATGAAATCTTACAATTGGCTGGCAGTGCCGTGCAGGGCCTCACACGGTTCGAAGCCTGGAACGTCATCAAGGCGCTGCCTGATGGGCCCGTCACGCTTCTCATCAGGAGGAAAGGCCTGCAGTCCGAGGGGACCACAGCCTCTGGAAACCCGTAGGCCGAGCACCAGCACTGATGCCACAGCCAGTGGCACGCAGATCCTCAGGGTCGCTGCCGACCCCACCGAGAGGAGAGAGGGCACAGGGCTGCTGCCCAGTGGCTGCTACCCAGGCCCAGACCCTCTGGGACACCACCCAGCAAAGGGCTGTCCCAGAGGTAAGGGCAGTCACGGTGGGGTGGCCGGTACAGACTACAGACGGTGCAGAGGGCTTGAAGTGCACACTGTGGTGCTGTAAATAAAGGAGATCGGCCCCAACCCGACATGCAGTCCGTGTGTGCTGTGCAGATTTTACAGGTGGCACAACTATGTGACGAGCCGCCCCCAACAGCCACGTTGGGTTTCCTCAGGAACCTGCAACGTGGGTAGGGCTTGGAGGGAACAGCTCAGTCCTGCCCCACATAGCATCAGCTAAAGCCATTCGAAGTCTAGGGACTGGGACCACGCGAAGGGTCACTCGCTCACTCAGCAGGTGCTTGACGCTGGCCTAAACACTCCCAGGCCCCTCCCCGTGGCCTGGGCTTCCTCGTGATGTGGTGGCTGGGTGCCCAGGCCACGTGTCCAAGAGCACAAGAGCCAGTGGGCCTGCGAGCCGCAGTGGGTGGGCGGCCTCACCTCCACCGTGCGCTCGGTCGGAGCGGGCACAGGCCGGCTCAGGTAGAGGGCAATGTCACCAGGCTGGAGGACACCTGTGCAAGGTGGTGCCCACAGAGGGAGCAGTGTGAGTGGGAGCGCGAGCACACGCGAGCCGCCTACCTCACGGCCTTCTGCAGGTTGGCGTACAGCCCAGCCATGCTGCGGGGGAAGAAGGCGTCCACCACGCTCTGCGGGAGGGAGCCACGCAGGTCCGTCTGGAAGAAGGTGACCACCCTGGTCTTGCTGGGCTCCCTGTGAAGCAACAGCAGGGGTGGTTATGCCTCTGCAAGACGGGCTCTAGGGCCAAGCGTCTGGCCGCCTGTTAGTGGCCAGGCCAGGGCTTATGGCCGGGACAGACTTCATGGCCCAGGGGTCCCCAGAGGTCCCCTCTGGACCCGCCTGTTCTCAGGATGGAGACGCGCTCTGTGCAGGCTCCGTGGCTGTGTGGGCGGTGAGCAGGGAGTAGCCGGTCCCCACGTCCAGCCCAGCAGGGCCGTCAGTCCCTATACCCTGCCTCCTGCTGCTTGCAGAGGGCTTGCTCTGCTCGCCGGGCCCTGGGAGGACCCGGCAGTTCTCTGTGCAGTCTGGGGATTCCTGGGGTCTCGACAGCTCCCCAAGGGGTCTGCAAGGTCAGAGCAGCCGTCACAGCAGCACTGAGATGCGTCGCGCCTCGTCCACTCGTTCCCACAGCAGCGTGTGCGCATCTCCGAGGCCAAGGAGTGCGAGATGGGACACATGAGCGTCTCTCACGCCTGACGCCAGAGAGAGAGCGACGACAGGAAATGATGCCACTCCTTGCATTATTTTCTTGTTTGGAAAATTATAGTTATTTTTCATAAAAATATTTGTTCATATGCAATAAATTTGTTATTTAGAAATGCTTTATGAATTTCCCAGTTTTAATTTAAACAGTTAATACTGATGGATATAATTCATATGAGCAAAAAAAAGCCCTCTGAAGCTCTGAACAGTACTTAAGAGAATTAACTACGTGGGAATAAAGTTAACCAAGGAGGTGAAAGACCTGTGTTCGGAACACTGTAAGACCTGAGGAGCTCCCCGGGGCAGTCAGTCACAGGCAGCAGCCGACCTTGGCCTGCTCGGGAGCCCCTCCCAGGGGGATATGAAACCAACGCACTCGGAGGGGAGGCTGGTGCTGGACCACGACAGAGCACCACCTGACCCGCCCAGCACCACCTGACCCGCCCAGCACCACCTGACCCGCACACCCAAAGGAGTGAAGCAGAAGATCGCATCAGCGAGCTGGAAGACAAGGGAGCAGAAAGCACCCGATCGGAACAGCAAAAAGAAAATTGAAAAAAAAAAAAAGAATAGTTTAAGGAGCTTCTGGGACAGCGTGAAGGGCAACAACGTCTGCATCATAGAAGTACCTGGAGGAGAGAGAGAAAGCAACGGAGTGAGACTCTATTTGAAGAAATAATGACAGAAAACTTCCCTAACCTGACAAAGGAACTAGACACACAAGCCCGGGAAGCACAGAGAGGCCAAACCAGATGAACCCAAACAGGCCCACAGCAAGACGCATCACGATTAAAATGCCAAACGTTAAAGACGAAGAGAGAATCTTAAAAGCGGCAAGAGAAAGGCACTAGTTACCTACAAAGACACCTTCGTAAGAATGTCTGGTGATTTTTCAACAGACACTTTGGAGGCCAGAAGGGACTGGAAAGAAATATTCAAAGTTATGAAAGACAAGAATCTACAACCAAGAATACACTACCCAGCAAGTCCATCGATTAAGATGGAAGGTGAGATAAAGAGCTTCACAGACAGGAAAAAGCGTAAGGAAGGCATCGCCAACGAGCCAGCATTACAAGAAACGTGAAAGGGACTTACGTAAAAAGAAGAAGGGGGACCGAACCCCCATTAGTATGAATAAAACGGCATAACTATGTACCTATCAACAACAGCTTTAAACGTAAGTGGATTAAATGCTCCAATCAAAAGGGGAGCCGAATGGATAAGAAAACAAGACCCGTGCACACACTGTCTACAAGAATCCACTTCAGATCAAATGACACGCACAGACCGAAAGAACAGGGAGGAAAAAGATAGTTCATGCAAACGGAAATGAAAAGAAAGTCGGGGTCGCGATACTGACATCAGACAAAACAGACTTTAAAACAAAGGCCGTAACAAGAGACAAGGATATTACGCAATGATGGACCAATACCTCCAGAGGACATGACCCTAGTAAATATGTGTGCGCCCAACCCAGGAGCACCTTCATGCATAGAGCAGTTATTGACCAGCATGAAAGGAGAGATCGACGGTAATATGCGTACAGTAGGGGACTTTCACACCCCACTGACAGCAACAGCCAGATCTTCCAGCCAGAAAATCAATAAGGAAACGAGGGGCTTAAATGACACACTAGAGCAAATGGATTTCATAGCTATTTTCTGAGCCTTTCACCCCAAAGCAGCAAAATATACATTCTTATCCAAGACAGACCACAAGCTAGGTCACGGGACAACTGTCAACGAATTCAAGAAGACTGAGACCCCATTAACGCCTCCTCCCGTCACAATGGTGTGAGACTAGAAGCCAACTGAGGGAAAAAACATGGAAAATACACAAACACGTGGAGGCTAAATAACATGCTACCGAACAATGAATGCGCTGACAACGAGATCAAGTAGGAAATAAAAAGATACCTAGAGATAAATGAACATAAAAACACAATGACTCAAAATCTATGGAATACAGAAAAAGCAAGCCCTAAGGGGGAAATTTATGGCAATACGGGCCTACCTCAAGAAACAAGAAAAAGCTCAAATAAACAACCTAACCTTTTAAATTAAAAAAAAAAAAAAAAACTAGAAAAAGAACAGCAAAGTCTAAAGTGAGGAGAAGGAAGGAAATAATAAAGATCAGAGCAGAAATAAACGAAATAAAATCTAGAAAAATAATACAAAGATTCATGAAACCAAGAGCTGATTCTTTGAAAGGATGAACGAAACTGATAAATCCTTAACTAGACTCATCAAGAAAAAAAGAGAGAACCCAAATAAATACACTCAAACGAAAGAGAACTACGGACTCCACAGAAATACAAAGGATCACAACCAAATACTAAAAGCAATTACATGCCAACAAATTGGACAACCTGGAAGAAAGGGACACATTCCCGGAAACACACAATCTCCCAAGGTGAGTCAAGAAGAAACAGAAAATCTGAACCGACCAACTGCCACCAACAAAATCAAATCAGTAATTAAAAAAACTCCCCCAAAAACACTGGGACGTTCTGGACCAGATGGCTTTCATAGGCAAATTTTACAAAACAATCAAAGAAGAATGAACACCTATTCCCGAACTACTCCAAAAATTCAAGAGGGAAGGCTCCCTAATTCCTTTTATGAGGCCATCATTACCCTGATTTCCAAAACGAGACAAACACATGACAAGCAAAGAAAACCATAAGCTGATATCCCTTATGAACACTGATGCAAAAATCCTCAACAAAATATTAGCAAGTCGAATTCGACAATACATTAAAAGTATCATACGCCACAATCCAGTCGGATTTATTCCTGGGATGCGAGGTTAGTACGATATCCGCAAATCAATCAATGTGACACACCACATAACATATCAAAAGATAAAAACCATATGATCATATCGACAGATGCAAAAAAAGCGTTCGACAAAACCCAGCATCCGTTTACGATAAAAACTCTCAGCAGAGTGGGAAGAGAGGGAACGTACCTCAACGTAACGAAGGCCACATATGACAAATCCACAGCTAGCGTCATTCTCAATGGGGAAAGGCTAAACGTGTTTTCCTTAAGATCAAGGACAAGTATTCCTGCTCTCAGCACTTCTGTTCATCATTGTACCGGAAGTCCTAGCTACAGCAACCAATCACACAAGAAAGAAAGAAAAGGCATTCACATTGGAAAGAAAGAAGTAAAACTGTCATTATTTGCAGATGACATGACGCTATACACGAAGAACCCTAAAGATTACACAAAAACACTGTCAGAACTGATCAATGAATTCAATGAAGTATCAGGATACAACATTAATATTCAAAAGTTGGTTGCCTTTTTAGACACCCATGATGAACTTTCAGAAAGAGAAATGGAGAACATCTCATTTACAGCACAGGCCTCAGTCTCCCCTGCTCAGTGCGGCCACGAGACCAGGCCCTGCCCGCACCCTGCCACGTGTCCACTGCTGCCATATCATGGCCCCAGGCGTGTGGGGCGTGCTTGGCGCCGGCAGGGCCGACGGATGCCTGTGCCCCCACAGCACGGCGTCCGCACTGGGGCCTTGCCGGCTCTGGCACGCCGCTCTGTGCAGGAGGCCGTCCTTACCCGGGCACGGGTTCGCAGAAGCAGCCGCAAGGGTGGTTAAAGCCTCTGACGTAGCCTGGCTTCGGGGGGCACAGGGTGTGCTCCACGTTGGAAGCTGGAAGACAGGGCAAGAGGTCGGCGACCCAGGCTGCAGACAGTGTGGCCACTGACACGCCTTCCGGCCCCGACCACCTGGGGCCCAGGGAGTCAGTAAGGGGACCCCGCCAGTGGCCAAGAGCCCTGCACCCCGACTGCCCCTCGTCACGCACGCTAGGCACCCCCCGAGCTGCCAGAGCACGAGAGGAAACACCGTGAGGAAGAAAGGCCTGGGAGCGAGGGGCTGACCCTCAGCGGTCCCCGCCGGCCCCACGGGAGGATTCGGGGCTGGGGGCTGTGGCTCTCAGGACTCTGTCCCTCGCTAAGACCCCCAGGAAGACGCCCCCATGGGCTCAGAGACCACCGCGCCCAGGGCTCCGTGCAGCCAGACCGGGCACCGCGAGCCGCGGCCGGGCCTGAGCAAGTGTGGGGACGCGCAGCCTGGGCCCACGAGGCCCCGTGGCGCCCGCCGTCACTCACCGTTGGAACAGATGGTCCCGTCCTCGTACTTCCTGACCAGCACCACGTCCACGAAGTCTCTGGGAGAAATGAGCCTCATGGCGGCCGAGGGGGTGGCGGTTCTGGTTACACACAGGGTCTGTCAGGGCCGGGGGGTCATCCACATTCGTGGTGTGTTATTATTTCAAGAAATTACGGTCAGATCCCAATCCAAAGTTTTAAAAACATTTTCGATCTCGCGGTTACAGGAAATATGTGATTACTGAAAATTTAGTTTCAATTAATATACAGATCTATGACACAGAATGATGGTTTTCAAGAGTAAATACGTTAGGATAAAATTCAGCAAGCTACACAGAATGAAAGTTCCAAGGCAAAAATCAACGTATCTAAGGAAAGTTTTTTCCTGTGTTTTTAAAAATGGATGATGGTAAATAAACTTTGTTGTTTAGATACTTCTGAAAGAATGCTGTCATTGTTTTGTCCCAAACTGTCAGATGTATCACATTAAAAGTGACATTTGGCAATCTGTGGTGCACAGTTTAGATGTCAACTAAACGTGTGGGGATGACATATAATTTCTCGAAAATCGTTGGACGTATGTGAGCGACAAGCCCGAGGACACCCGCCCCGAGGACTGAGGGTCCTGGGCGGCCTGGCTCAGGGGCCCCCGACGAGGACACCCTTCAGCGTCACCGACCAACCCACTGGCAAGTCGGCCAAGGAGGCGAGAAGGGCGTGCGGTGGCGTGGGACCCGCACAGGTGAGCTCTGCGCCGTGGCAGGCTCGCAAGTGTGGCCGTCAGCGGGGCCTGAGGACAAGTGTGGGGCCTCTGAGGGGTCAGGATGGCGCGACCCAGACAGGAGCCAGGGTGAAGGCTGGGGGTTACTGGAAGACAAGTAGCGGATGGCTCTCAGCACCTGCTCTGCACTCAAGAAACTGGGGTGAAGCCGCGCCCCTCCCCGGGGGTTTAGCCGACACACTGAGCAGGCAGCGCGGTGCACAAGGACGCAGCGAATGACAGTTCTCGTCATGTTCACCGTGATTTTGGCAGCTCGGGTGTTCTCATTTCTACTTTCAGCTCAGGCCTGTCATTCTCCTGTCCCCAGTCACTGTATCGACACAAAGTCTAAACACGCAGAAGAAATATACAGCCACTTTGACCTTCGAGAAGAAAGGTCTACACATGGTGGTCATTCTGTATTGTCTCTGTATTACGTCTTCAAGGGCATTAACCCACCTTTCCTCGACTTCTAGCATAATGTGTACAAGTGGAATTATCTGTACGCCGTCTTTACAATTTTTTACTAGCTCTGGGAGCACCCGTCCTATTACCTAAATGTGCTTATTTTATAAAACTCACACGACTTTAAAAGGAAGCTCTTTAGCTTTCAAAAGTGGAAAGAGTTATCACTTGGTATAATTTCAAGGCAGTCAGAAAGCACACAGAAGCAGCTGTTAGAGTCTAGTTCTAATTCTGAGCCTGAGCCCAGCCGTTTCGTGGTGAAGGGTCAGCACAGGCCTCAGACACGTCAGCACCTACCTGACGCTGCTCCCTTCAAGTTGGGAGCGATTAAGGACAAGCCGCATGGGGTGGCCTCCCTGTGAGGGCCTGGACTGTGAGGGGCCTGGGGGCCACCCGCCCCTCAGGAACCACTACATCAGCTCCTGTGACAACGAACTGGGGGTGAGCTGGCCAGTGAGTCCTCGGTCCAGACTGAGAACATCGGGTCCCACTGACCGACCAGCCCACGACGGGCCACGTGGGGTTTCACACCACCATCTGCGTGAACACCCGAGAGGGTGCCAGGCCCGCAGGCGGCAGAACGGAGGCGCCGTTCGAGCGAGGGGGGCCGGCAAGTGTCTCCCCAAGGCCCCTTTCTCTCCGGCGTCGGCTGTGCCTTTTATGTTCCTTCTTATCCTCCTTAAACGAAATGCGGTGGGTTCTTAACTGGACAGAGGGCCCCAGGACAGGGTGCTCTGTGTCTGCAGCCTGACGGGGCACCCGCTGGCTGCACGTGGCTATCCAAACTCACACCGGGTCACTGAAGGGACACGGAAGCAGCGGCCCCTTTCTGCAAACCAGGCACCTTCCCAGTGCTCCCCGGCCGCAGGGGGCTGGCGGCCACCGTGTTGGACAGTGATACAGGACACTGCCATTGGCTGCCTCACTGATGTACGTTTCGCCCCTAGCCGCTGGCCCCCGGCAGAGGCCAAGGCCGGCGACACTCCTGACCCCTTGGCCGGCCCCTCAGTTATTACCGTGGCCCCAAGAAGGGGCCATATTTCACACCAGAGCCAGCGGATCGAATCCAGGCACTGCTCCTGAATCCAGAGAGCTCACGTTCGCCCTGCGCCCCGCTTTGCCAGCCGCGGCTGTCCCCTCAGCTCTGCCTGGGGTGTCTGCCCCACTGAGTCTCACTGTTTGCTACCTGCATCTGGGCCAAGGCTGGGCTTTGGTGTTGCAAGCAGTGGGCCCGGGCTTTGGAAGGGCTCCCCTTGCCAGAAGGCGTCCCAGACCCTCTGCACAGGGGACAGGACCCTCTGCGCTGCCCGTGGCTGATGGGCGCTTGGAAAGACTTACGTCAGTGAAGCTCTGGATAATCTCAAAACTGGTGACGTTCTCATCCCACTGCTCTCGAAGGCTCCCGGCTAGTGGCTTCACATAGTCCCACACGCTCCCTGGTGTCCCGTCCACAATGCCTTCTCCTCGGTAACTGGAGCACAGAAAGGGATTTGACCCTGAGATCTCGTCAATCCAACTTGTCTGTCCTGGGGCGTTAGATAAGGACTAGGTGTCCTGTTTGTCACCGCCTGTACAGAGCCTTACAGAGGGGACAGAGCTGACCAGCCCGCCTCCCTGCCTGCAGAAATGGATGGCAAGCTCTCACAAGAACACGCTTTGCTGGCAATGATTTAGTTAAAAACAGAAGCTTTTCTGGAAGACTTGGTCCCAGGCTTCTGGGGCTCGCTGGAACCTTCTAGCTTCCTCAACGCACAGGGACGTCAGGAGGGCGTGTCAGCTGACCATAGCACTTACAGATTGCCGGGGAACTCCACAGACGGCCTCCAGGAAACAGAGACTCCATCCTGGCAAAGGGAAGAGAATCGTGGTTCACTCTGGGGGTGACCTGGCCGATGCCCCGCTCTGCGGAAGAGAACTCAGAGCCCCAGGAGGTGTGGCTCTCCATGGTGACCAGACGGGTAAGTGGCAGAGCAGGGCTGGTCCTGCACCGGGCTGCCCACAGGACGCGATTGGAGAGAGGGTCTTAGCTGGCTGGCCCCAAGGGCTCTGGGTGGTGCCACCATTTTACTTCCTTGAGCAATTGAGTTCCATTCGTTAAAAATCAGAAGTGTCAGGAAAGACAACTGTCCCATGCCACCTTCCTGGGAACACAGGGACGGCTCCCGCTCCGAACGGTTCCAGCCCTCACCACCATTTATTTACCAGTCAGGTGACCCTGGACAAATCACTCCAGGAAAGGGACAGAGACTTACCTCCTGACTGTAGTAAGCACGATGACCCAATATTTTTTAAGGAAACAACCCCCACGACTCGTCTCCGCAACCCAGCGCCAGGGGGCTGCAGCGTGCGAAGCAGCAGGGGAGGAGCCCGAGGACCCTCCCGCCCAGCCCCCACTCACGCCCTGCCGGCAAATCCTCCAGCCTGACGGGTCTCGCCTGTACCGCAGCACCTTCTCGGCCACCGCCTCGCCCATCTGCAACGCCAGCGCCGCGTCCATGGCGGGGTGGCAGGGGGACCGGGGACCGGGGGACAGAGGCTGGAAGTCCGAGCTCAGCACTGACCCCGCCCCCGCCCCCGCCCCGGATTGGGCTGGCCCTGGCAGACCCGCCCCACTCAGAGACAGGGCGGGGACGCAGAACCGGCTCGGCGGGTCACATGGCCCTGCAAAGCCCTGCACTGTGCACTGTCCGGGGTCAGCCTCGCCCTGCAGGCTCTGGGCGGGACCCTGGGCCCTGAGACCACGGCGTGGAGAGCCAAGCAGGCCGGGCCAGGTCACAAAGTGAGTATTCCTAGGAGCCAATAAGAGAAGACCAGTAAGTCACGCACGCGTTAAAAAAATGTAAGCATGCCAAAAGTATCATAAAACGCCGGATAACTGAGAGAAAAATCGGAGCATGTTTTAACTAAATATAAGTTCTCTTCATGTATAAAGTGCTCTGACAAATCATGAAGCCATTTTCAAACAACACAAAAGACAAAGAATGCATCGGACATGAACAGATACTTTGCAGAAAAGTTGATTGACAAGGCTAACAGGAAAGGGCGCATCAGCTTCCACATCGTTTGGGGATTACAAACCAAAACAAGGGGCACTTTTCACACTTAATCTGATCGAAAGGGGTTTGGTAATTCTCTGAGTGCACGGAAAACAGTTGCTGTCTACACCGTGGGTGAGAGTGTAAATTTACGTAACCTTTTGCGAGCGAAAGAACATGCAGCTCTAACTGACTTGTTTTTTGACCCAGCAATCCTCCACAAAGATCTCGCAACTGGAAACAAGCTAGTTGTCAATACATTAAACAGAGTTACAGGACATTCATTTTGGGGAACAGTACGGAGCCATGAGAATAACGTGGCACAGACTGTTGGAGCCGACAGGAAATGCTCAACGGAGCCCAGCACGGCCTCGAACGTGAGTTGATATGAGTAGACTACTGTGATCAACAGTAATTTACTCTTTAGGAAGGAAACAAATGGTATTTAAACCTTAACTTTGAAAATAACTTAGTATTTTTAAAATCAATAAAACGCCTTGTGTGCACCGACAAGGAACAACATCCACAATATATATACACAGTCACCGAATATACACTGAAGGAGAACAGTAGTGCAGATGAGTCAGTCAGTGCCCACATCAGGCTGCCCAGGTTCGAGTCTCAGCACCAGCACTTACTGGCTGTGCCCTTGATAAGTAACTGACCATGGAGGAAAACAGTGCTCGCTCACAGGGCTGGCAAATGGGTCAAAGGATTTAATGAGTGAACGGCAATTGGAAGGGTGTGCGCATACAGTAAACACATGTACTATCAAATGTGCTTTGTGTTATTTATATATTTTGAGAAATAAACCACTAGAAATGTGCTTACATTTACATACGTGTATGTTGAGAACACTCACTTCCCTAAGCTGTAACCTGTTAACCATGCACATTCCCTTTTCATTTTATATCGTCATATACTGTTTAACTATTTTAATTAGTAACAAGTTGGCCTTTTTAAATTAAAAGTCTCTTTAAAAAGATCACTGTACGACGTTTCTATAAAGCAGTGGCTCGAGACCGTGTCAGGATGGGGCCCATTAGGATGTGGCCTGGGCATAAAACTGTGTGAACACAAAGCTCAGGGGGAGGAAGTCCTGCTGGAGAAAGGGGCTCTCGTGAGACATCGATCACTTGGAGGAGCATGGGTGTGAAGTTCTCGTAGCACTCGAAGTCTCTGCCCGAGAACGAGAAGCCCTAGTCATACGAGATATGTGCAGAAGCAAACTGTTTACCCCCGAGGCCAGGGACGAACTGGCAGCAGGGGCCGGGGAGGCCAGGGCAGCCTTGGGCAGGCCTCCCGTCTGTTTTGCCACTGGAGGCAGGACGGGGCAGGACGCAGCAGGCAGAGGGCGGGCGGGCACTGCCCACGCAGCCTCACAGTGACTGCAGGGCTGAGTGGGAAGGAGGGCTCCCTGGGGTCTGTCTTCGATGGATTCTGCAGCTCAGAGCCCCTGCCATGAGGTCCAGGGTGGACCTCACTGAAGTCCTAGTTGAATTTTCAATAGGTGTATATGGGTAAGTGGCCCAGGAGCTTCTAACCTAAACCCCGTGGACCACCCCGGGGAAAGGCCCAGGTGTCCAGCGCTCTGGGAGAGGGTGTCTGCGTGCTTCCTGACTTAGCTCACGCAGGCGCTAGGTGGGTCTGTAAGCATGTGTTTGTTTATTCCTCACTTAGCAACAGCTCACGGAACTCGGCACCTGCTCCTTGCCAGTCACTCTAAGCATCAACCTGCTTCGTGTCATCCACCCCTCCCAGCCGCACGGCATTGAGAGGTAGAGCCCACGATGCCCATTTCACAGGTTAGGACCCCCGGCCCACATCTGGTATCCACGGCCAGGTGGCTAGCAGACGGCAGGGGTGCGGCGCACACCCAGAGTCTATTTCTGTGGGCCAGGTGTTCCCTCACACGCTTTACTGCCTCCTACGTCCTCTACCCACACACGAGGCTGACCAGGAAACGGGCAAAAAGAAAAAGCAAAAAACCAAAACAATGCACAAACCCTAAAAAAGAGACAGAGGAGCTGGAAGGCAGGAAAACTCCCCGGACTGAGAGAAGTTACTCCTCTCGGGACACAGGAAACTGCTCTAACGGGGCTGCCATTCGGATTCAGAAACATGAGTGGCGACAACGGGAGACGCCGTCAGGTCCCTAAGACGTTCACCAGACTGGTCTCCTCAGGGGGGCTGATCCCCTCTTTATCTTAATGGGGACACTTGCGACGGTCTCTGAGACCCACGAGGACTTTGCTCCATAAGCAGTCTTTGGAGAGATTGGGAACGACAGCCTGGCCCACGTCCTCAGTGACGGGGGGACTGAGGCGGACGTGAGCCGTCAGCCCCGCCGCCCTGCCATGGGCTCCACGCAACAAGGGCGCGGCGAAGCCAGCTCCGCGAAGGCGCAGATGGCAGCGGGGTCCCGGTGTGCGCCTTCCGCCGCTGCGGCTCCGATCAGGGTCAGCGGGGGACAGAGAAACGAGCCACGGCACCGAACAGGCAGTCAGCTCACGGAGGACACGCACAGCGGTCCGCACAGGGGACGGTGCTGTCAGAGAAATGCAAATTCACGACAATGACTTGGAGTGTCATTTTTTTTCACCAAGTTGGCAAAAATGACATCATGGGGCCATATGCAGTATCAGTGAGGCTGTAAAACAACAGGGGTGTGTGTGAGTGTGAGTGTGTGTGAGAGTGTATGTGTGTGAGTGTATGTGTGTGAGTGTGTGTGTGTATGTGAGTGTGTGGGGTCTGGGCACACGGGAGCTACAACAGTAGCAGCGCGTGGGCCTGACTGTGCTCGGGTCCGAGAAGCCGGGGCAGCGGCCCGCACGGCTCCGTCGACGCTGGCTCGGGTTCGGGGAAGCCGGGTAACATTCTCTATTTTCAGCGGCGAGGAAGCGGAAGCGACTTCAGTCTCCATCCGTGACACGGGGATAACTACCGCGTCGTTTATTCAGATCGTGAAATGCCGTGTGGCCGTCGTGACTGAACTTGATCTACGTATTTCTTCAACAGACCTCAGAAACGTCAGCGGCGGTGACACGCAGCACGACGGCGTGTAACGAGGCCGCACACACCGGATGCGACTTCACAGGTGCCCATACGTGTATCCACACGCACGCAACGCACACCTAACTACAACCACTATCGGGACACACGCCCAACTCCTGGTGCTAAGGGGAGGGAGGGCGCTGTGGAGATCGGGGCAGACCCTGACGACAGCTGTGACGTGTCCTTCACGGCCCGCCCCGCTGCGGCTAGCGATCCAATGACCGGACGGACTCAGACTCTGACGGCACCAACACGTGGGGTACGCGTGCCTGTCGAACAGTCTCCGTGCCGCTCCGCGTGTCTTACATGTCTCTACAGACGCGGCCACGCGAAGTGCCGGCCACACTCAGGCTTCCTCAGGAACCTCGCGTGGCGCTTGGTCCACTGGAGGAGGCAGGAAACCTCAGACTCCAGAGCGACGAGAGCTGTCACGCGAGGAACTGGGAACGGGCTGCACGTCTGGTCACCCATGGCGGACTGAGCACGCCCCGCCCACACGGGGGGCCATAAACGCGGAACTCCCCGGGGCTGCAAGTCCCCCTCCGGCCTGGAGCCAGCCTGCGGCGGTGAAGGAAACAGCCCACAAAGGCAAGGAGAGCTGAGACGGGGGCACAGAACCCCAAAGGGGTCTGGCCTCCAGGCAGGCCGAGTGCCCGTCCTGCCCGGTGGGTCTCCCCTCACCTCCTATCACGCGTCCTGGCTGATACAGACCACAGCCCCGCAGACAGGGGGGCCGGCTCCCTGAAAATTTCAGGTGCTGCCGTCACGACTGAAGAGTCACGAGGGCCGAGTGCTGTGACACCCTCCACGGGCGGCCACCTCAGTTTCAGCGCTCATCAGAGAAGACCGGGCTCTCAAAGACAGCAACGCAGTACGGACGGCTCGCTCGGGGTCAGGGACGAGCTGCCAGGCTTGCCTGTGGCTGGGGTCAGGCCGCGTGGCGGCAAAGCCCTGACAGTCTCCGGGACGACGGCCTCACGTGCCGGGGTGCTGGACGCAGAGGTGCCCCGGGGGTCCCCAGCACCCACACACCAGGCACACTCCCCGCTCTCTCCAGAAGGGAGGCCACACTGTCAGACACGTCCGCACCCCAGCCCGGCTCCGGTGTCTGTCAGTGGGACGCCAGAGGACGCCAGAGCCGGCGGCTAGACGTCTGAACAAACCAGCCGGTGCAGATCCACGGCCCGCTGCGGCCCCCACAGGCCCCCAGGCCGCGGGAAGCTGTCCTGGCCGTGGCAGACCCAGAGGTGGTCAGTGCCATCGTGCAGGTCACTGCTGGACGCTGCCGACGCGGAATCGGACTTCGGGGAGGTGGGCTCGGGCCGGGGCTGGGCTCGGGCCTGCCGCGGGGGCCGGGGGGCTGGCTGCCCCTGCTCGTACATCGGCCGGTCAACGTGACCCTTGAGCCCCTGCTTCCGAGACTGGCGGGGGCCTCGTCCGTGGTGCTCTGTGCCGCCGGCATGGGAATGAGCCCCGTGGAGGGGCCCGCGGACCCACAGGGCCCTCAGTGCCTCCTCCGCACTGGGCTGCGGCCAGCGAGCCGGCTGCGGGGCCCGGGGGTGCACCACCATGTCCCCCGAGGCATCAGTCTCCACACGCCCTGCTGGCCAGACGGTAGGTCGGGGTCTCCGGGGAGAGTGGCAGTCGCTAACGACGTAGTATCTGTGGGCGGGGGGCCCATGACTCCGGGGCGCCGAGGCCCCCCGTGCGCGGAGAGGGGGGCTGACTGGCTGCACGTCTCCCCGGAAACGAGGCTCCGAGTGAGTACGTTCAACGCGCTCTCCGCATGGCACAGCGGGGCAGGGTCTGGTCTTGTGGCGGCCACCTATGCCTGCACAGGGACCTCGGGGACACCTGCAAGACAGAGGCCGTCAGGCCCCGCGGCCTCGGTGGGGTCGGAGCCCCACGCCCTCCGAGCACTGTGAGCAGGGCGCCAGTGCTGAAGGGCGTCCAAGGGCCACATGCACGGGGCACCTGGGCAGGCTCCTTCCTGCCGAGACTGAGCCCCCCGTGTCCACCTAAGGACAGGCACGGCCCCAGGGCGGGCAGAGGGGCGTGCCAGCACGCTCCAGGAGCACTGCTCCTCACGAAGCTGTCCCCAAGGCCCGCGGGGACTCATGACCCCTTTCTCCTTGTCAAGATCCTCTAGAGACACAAGGACAATGCCTCATACAGCGAGACTCAAGTTCTTTGTTAACTTATTGTCTTCAAAAACAACAAAACCAAACCCCCCGAAAGACAAAACCCCTGCATTCTATCTACTGCTTTCACTGCTGCACTCGGGTCAATGGCCTCTCTCCACGTGAGCTTGGGCCAGTGCCCCACCAGACGCCCGGCCTCGGCCTCGGCCTCCGCCGTGCGTGTGGACACAGACCACCGACCCACCTCATACGACTCACCCTCGCTGACAGCCCGACCAGCCCACGGCTGCCGTGCAGACGACCTGGCCCGAGGAGCAGGCGCCTGCTGTGCCGTGGTCAGGCTCACCTGCCGGTGGCGCGCTCCGGCCCGGGCTGAGGGATGCCAGGAAGGGGCGGGCTGGCACTGCCGGGCCCCGGCCGCAGACTCGGGGGCGTGGGCTGGGTGACCGTCTCTACCCTGCCACTCCTGCTGCTCGACGAGTCGAAGCTGGCCACGTGGCCGTTGTTCTGGGGCGTCGCCGAACGGGCCGAGGACCGCTGGCTGCTGAGGTCGCTGTCCTTCGGCGGCCTCCTGGTGCTTCCCTCCTGGGTTTGGATTCGTGCTGCAGGAAGAGGAAGGGGTGTGAGGTGGGTGGGCGGCACATCCAGGGTCGTGGCCTCCGACGGCTCGGTCTACACACAACCGTGGGCACGGGCAGAGACACGTGACCCGCTGGTTTGCAGACAGCTGGAGCTGGGAGTGTGGGAGGGGCCGCACGGACGCAGGTGTACCCCACGAGGCCAAGCAGGTTACTCCCCAACATCGGGGTTCTGGTTCTGCATCGAGACAATGGACTTCGTAGAGCTTATGTGACACTGATGAGGTTTTGGAAACAGGTCACAGAAAACATGGCCTCGAGCTGGGAAACGGACACTGGACAATGCTGCCGAGCCCTGAGGAAACCTACAGCAAGCCTGTGTTTGGAGGTGACCTCCCGCCCTCGGGCCACGCCAGGCCTCTGCTCTGACGCGCTCGTTCTTTCTGGGGGTGGAGGGCGCTCCCCACTCTGAGCCTCGGCGGAAGGTGTTTGTCCACATGCAGCCAGGGCAGACGGGAGCGAAGGTGTGTGCCCTGGCTTTGTGTTTCTCACTAGAGAACGTGTTTTCGGGGCCGGGCCGTCTGTCCCGCAGGAGTGCGACAGAGTGCGCTCAGCTCACGGGGGCTGGACCCTGCGGTGCGGCCTTGCAAGGAAGACCGGCCGGGAGAGGCGGAGCACAGAGACGGACAGGACAAAGATTTCTCGTGGGGTTTCCCGATTTATGTGCTGCTTCTTCTCTCCTACTTCAAAATCTTCTGACTTTAGACACATTTGGGGGGTTAGTAACAGACCTAGGGATGACGTAAAAATTGTAGACTTAAACCAAACATTTACATCCCGAGATGTTACTTTCCTGTTCCTAGTTAATGGTGAACACCGCAGTTTACGGGGAGTTTGTGAAGCAGCGAACCCTTCAACTGCTGTTTTTAACGGCACCGGCCACGCCATCGCCTCCCTCGCACGTACCTTCCACCATCTGGGCGACCTTTCTCTTGTCCTCAGATCTTGCCTGAAACGTGAAGGATGTTGGTCGTTACACGTTAGTTTGGACTGGGCAGGAAGCGGTCACGGATACTGTTCCGGGGAGAGGATGAGCCATCACGCGCGCAGGGCCGCGACGGAAGTCACGCTGCTCCGCGGGAACAGCGTGCTCTGCGCGCCGCCCGGCCCTCGGGTGGACAAACGCTGACCCCCGAGAGCTGGAGTCCTGTCCCTAGAGTTTCTTTTTCAGGGCGGCTACCGGCTAGACCGTGTTTCGAGTCTGCTGACGACGGTTCGTTTGCCTATCTCCCTGATGAGCTGGTGTGGCTTTACCTGAATTGAGGTTCATGGGAGGGTTGTGGAGATCTTTTTGCATGGGGTGCTGGAACCGGGGGCCAGTGAGGGCTCAAATTTATGGCGGTACTCACTCTCAGGACTGAGAGAGTGGCAGGGTGTGTGTGACCGAGACTTTGTGGCTCCTTAAATTTGGCACCCGGTGCTCTGTCACCCCACCCGAGTCCTGGCTCTGGGGGAGCCCCTGGGGCGTACAGAGGAGGAATTACAGAAGGTCTGGGGAGGGGAGGCCTCTATCTGACTGTTCTGAGCACCAAGGCCTGAGTCCCACATGGGAGAGAAGGGTAAGGACAACCAGACCTACAAGATGCGGAAAAGGCGGGCCTTTGGGTCCAAACAGTGACCTGGGGCTCTGAGGTCCAAGCTGACATGAGGTCAGGAAGGGGCCCTCCACACAGCCCGCTGAAGAGCAAGCACACTGAGGGCTAGACGAGGCTGCAAGAGGCGGGGAAAGCCTGGGACGGACGGGCGCCACCCCGGTGTGTTCAGAACCAGCTCTGGGAGGTCCCGGGGCAGGGGCGGCCTGGCGCCCAGCGATCTGCCATGTGGCCTCAGCGTACGCCCTGCTGCTGAGTTCAGGCACGCGGCCCGCACGCGCGCACCGCGGCAGGGCGGGGCGATACTTGCATTTTGGATCTGCGTTCTGAGCTGCTGGTTGCTGAGCTTCAGGGACCTGGCGATGCTCTGAAGGTAGTAGATGAGCATGCTGGGACAGGAGAGCCGGCGTGAGGGCCCCTGTTTGCTGCCCCCCCCCGCCCCCGCCCCGAGGACAGAAGGCCTCGGCAAGTTCTCAGCCCCAGAGCGCTGGGCAGGGGCTGCACCCCCTCCCTCGCTTTTCACAGCAGCCCCCCCAACCCCCCAAAACTCCAGGTCGAATGACAGGGAGCGGAGGCGGGAGGGGCATTTCCGGCTCTCAGGCTGAGAGCTGCAGCCGCCTGCTGTTAATTTTACATTTACACCAAGGCAAGCAGCAGCTGCTCAGCTGCACTGTGACATTCCTGTGAGACCGTCTCAGTCTCTGGGGAGCGGGACGATGACAGTGGCACCCGACCCCCTCCCAGTGGCCATGGTGACCCCCGAATGCCATGGGTGACCCGATCGCTCTGTGCATCCCATGTGACTCGGTTCCTACTTAGGGCTGAGCAAACTCAATGCTTTTACGTGATCACTGGTAAGCAGTGTTTCCGCTGCTGGCCCCGCATGCAGACCCCCCAAGCTGGCCGGGAGGTGTGTGTGGCGTGTGGGGGACTCACAAGAGCAGCAGCAGAGCCGGCAGGATGACCACGGGGCTGCTGATGGCCCCGGCCGCCACACTGAGCCATGTGGGGAACGCCTCCTCAATCGTTTCCGACACGATGTCGTACATTTTCTCCTGCCCGCTGCGAGGAAGCAACACGCAGCTCTGGGTTACACTGCTTTCGGCAGGAGGTGCTGCCAGCCGCCCCCAAACGGCTGAATGGCTGCAGTCCAACCCTCAGGGTCCGTGACAAAACTGGAGGGAACGTCTGAATGCAAAGGACACATAGCATTGCGCAGGGGACGTCCTACGAGGTGGTCATGCGGCGTTGAAGGCGGGGTCCATAACCACAGCACGTGCGAGTTTTAACAGCATCCACGAAAACAGACTCTACGTGCCAGGTCTGAGCCCTCCCAGAGCTGCCTTAAAGCGAACGCTCGGGGGGGTGTCCAGGGATTTCTGCCCTGATGTCGCCAGGTGACCGAATCCAGAGTGACGTGGACGCTCTGAAGGTAGTAGATGAGCATGCTGAAGCATTCTGAGTCCTGGACGGGGAGGACTGACCAAGCAGCATCTCTTTCCAGCACCAAGCGCTGCTGTTCCCTGTTTTAACCCCACACGGGCTGTTTCTTTTCAGGAGCATTACAGACATGGTGACAGCCGCGGGCAGCCCCGCCACCTGACAGGACGCTCATCTCGGATTCGAAGACCCGAGTCTGAGACCTTTCTCTGCCGCTGGCCTGTTCCGTGACCCTTCAGCGCGCGGTCCCTCCCCGACGGCTGGAGGAGCCGACGGTTGACGGTCACTTACCTGAATGGCCCGCAGTGGGGAGATGGCCGGTAGTGGACGATAGCGAAAACCGTGGGCAGCATGCACAGGAAGAGCATGAACAGGAGCATGGCCAGGTAGAAGTTGTTGGACCTGCAGAGACACCAGTGCCACGCGCCGCGTTCAGGCTGAGGCCGCTCACGGTGACACGCGTCCCCGAGGGACAGACACAGAAACTGCAGCCCCGACTCTGCCCACAGAGAAGCTGTCCACGTACCACTGTGTGAGAACGGGTGTGTCGCAAGGTCACAGGCAGCTCAGCGAACTAGAAATCAGGGCCCAGAGCCTGTGTGGAGCATCCAGCCCACCTGTTCACCCGCTAAACACCTGCTGAGGACCTGTCCACCTCAAATTAAGAATGGTGAACCCAAGAACCTTAATTCGTGGAAAAATCTTAGACCTTCTGGCGCGTCCCCCTGGTCCCCAGCTAATGGTCCCCCCTGCCCTGTTCCCAGCCTTGAGCTGCCCCTCAGATCTGAGGGCGGGTGGCCTCCTGTGGTTGAGACTCTTGACTCATGTGGGTGCTGTCTGCGTTCAAACTCCCGTCCTCTCTGCTCTGGGCGGCTCAGACTGAACTTGCTGTCGGTCAAGCCCTGAGCTGGCACACGGGCTCGGAGAGCGAGCGAGAGGTCGGCCGACCTACACTGCCACCTCGCTGTCTGCAGGGACACAGCCCGGGCTGGAAGGGGAAACACCAGGGCACACGGAACGTAGTAAGTGGGTTAGTGTTACTCGAGGAACCTCTCTCTCTGCTCTATGCCACACACGCCACACGCGTGTGCACACTGCACACACACCAGCTACACCTAGGTCCTGGTCGAGGAGTCTGGATGCCACTCAGATACGGCCCCGTGAAAACTGTCATGTCAAAATAAAATATGTGAGCTCCAATTAATTAAAAAAAAAAACAAACCCTGCAGGCTAGAATAAGCATCAGCCGGGCTCTGGGACGACTGGGGCTCCCCCGCAGTGCTGCTGGGGTGTGGGGGGTACGACCACTCTGGAGAAGCTTCCAGCACCCCTGGCTGCAGGTGGACCCGGCACGCAGGCCCCGTGACCCAGCGGTCACTCTCCTGCCGTCTACCCAGTGAGAGACGATGGCGGAAGGTGCCGGCAGCCTCCTGCGTCAGAGCTGACACCGGGAACAACCTGCGTGCCGGCCGACGGGCGCAGTGAGGACACGGGGGCACTTTCCGCGGTGACGTGCGTGTCACAGGCACAGCGTCCAGGGGGAGACACCGGAGGCAGCGTGCGGCGCCGGCCCCTCTGCTCCGCCAGGCGTGGTGAGCGCCGCCGCGGGCAGCAGGGGTAGGGAGCAGGTAGCGCCAAGGGCCTTCTGGGTGGCGCGCGCCCCTGTCCGGTTTGTGGGGACTCGTCGCACTGGACATGCGTGACGTGTGCATTTCGTTAGTGGTCATTCGCCATCAGTAAAAGTTTTAAAAAAGCATGTGATTGCGGGACGGGGCGGGGCGGGGGGGAGTAGTACTTAGTTCCGGGGTGGGCACTGGGATGTCTGTGTGAGGAGCAGACGCGGACAGGGACACGCGGACAGGCGCAGGATGCGAAGCCCCGGGCGGGCGCCCTGCCCAAGGCGAGCGTGGTGACGGCGGCTCTCTGCCCGAAGCGGCCTGGAGCCCACTGACCTGGACGCTCGGAACACCTGCTGGTGCGGCACATTGCAGGTGAGCACGGCCCAGCTCCTCAGGTACATGAGCCCCATCAGTTTGAGGACGTTGAACGCGGGGAGACACGGGGAGAAGAAGGACCCCATCCTGGAACCGACAGGGGGCGCCAGTTAGTCCGCGCCCACTCGCCCATGGTTGAGACCCCGGGTTTACACCCTGCGCTCAGAGAACTGGGGAAGCCCCCCGAAGGTCTGAGACCCCAACTCCCCACCTTCCGGAGGAGAGGCCGGTCGCTTCTGCAGGCGAGCGGTGACCCTGTTTTAAAACACCCTCCCCGCCCAGGAAAACCTGGGGCACGTGTCTGTCTTCACACTTAGCAGAGGACGGGCCCTCTTCCGGGGGAGAAGCAAACAAGTTTGGGGCACGCTCTGCATTCGCCTGTGTTAATGAAGTATGGACTTTCCAGTTTAACCAACTTATGTGGAGCGGCTACTTGTGCTGGACCTCACACATTCCAGCTCATCTCATCTTCCGCCATCATGGAGGAAGAGGAAACGATCTAAAGTTTACAGTCACGGAAGGGGAATCTGGGAAAATGAGGTGATTTACCCAAAGCCGTGTTGCTAACAAAGAGTGACCCTACGCCCTCCAAACTGAGACGCTTCTAAGAGTGACCGATCTGGGACGACAGGCCGGAATCGGACTATCCCAGGGAGGCAGACGCCCAGGCATCCCGTGAGTCAGTGTCCCCCAGGGCACGAACCCAGGTCCAAAGCCACGTGTTCCGGTCGTGC